GCCGATGCCGACGCCGACGAGGAAGAAGAAGAGGAGGAGGAGGACGACGATGACAATTTGGCCGAAGACGAAGACGAGGAAGAAGACCCGCGAACGAACGATACCAGCAACCGTGGGGAAACTGGAGAGATAAACGACTTTCCGGTCATCATGAAACCTCCGTCTTTCTCCTATCTCACGCCGGGTGGTCACGTTATGTATCTACCGGAAACGAACGAGGCGGAACACAGAATACAAAACTTTACCGGTAGAAAAGTCGTTTCGGTTGACTACGAAGGAACGACCATCATTCGCGAACAGACCACCGCGAAACAAGTCGGCGGGTATCGTGCTTCCTTTCGCATCGACGGTTACGACAACGGGGATGACGACGGCGGCGGCGACGGCGATGGCGACGACGATGACGACGACGACGACGACGAGAACGGAGGCGTGACGAAAGAACGGTGCAACGAATTGTTCATGAATCGTCCCGAGTTACGCGAGAACGTCGACAAGCGAGTAACCCTCGCGGAAACAAAGTCTACGAAACGCAGCTCGAAGAGCAGGAGGTTCACATTTCAATCGACCGTCAGGCAAATCGAGAGACGCAGATTGGCCGAAAAGTTGTCGAGGGAAGTGGAAGCGAGGGAACGTCAGCGGAAGGGTGAACTGGAAGCGATGCGAAAGGTCGAGGAAGAATTTCAGCGGAAACGCGCGAAAGAGAAGGCGAACATCAGACAACAGTTGCGACTATTCAAAGAAATGGAGGAGAATTTCAAGTGAGTATGCCTGATTTAAAGCGAACCGGAACCGAAACGACCATTTATTGTTGGTGATTGCAGCGGTAGCCTACCCACTCCCGACTGGGATGTATCGCAAACGTCTCGCGCCGACCCAGACGGTGCGCCATCCTCCACCGCGTCCTCGCCGACCTCCTTGCCAACTGGAAACTTGTCGAAACCTTCGTCCGGAGATCCGGAGTTTCGCCGGAAGAAACACCACGAGTCGGATTCGAAGCAACGTCACCGGCCAAAGTATTATGACTGGTCACCGGATACCTCCTCTCACTTGGATCACAAGCAGACCACCGTTCATCCAAAGATCGTTTGCGACATTCCAAAGAGTTCGCCCGTTTTCGTCGACGTGAACGTGCATCCCAGCAACTCCACTCCGAGATCGGACAACTACAGGTAGCTGCTCGAGAGCTTCTTCTCTCCGTCGATGGTCTTTCCTAGCTCCGTTACTCTTTCTTCTTCTTCTCTTCGTAGGAAAGACTTTGCGCACGGAACCGTGATCGCGAGAACATCTTTCGCGAGCAGCGACAGCGAACTCTCGCAGCCAAACACCAGGCCGCATTCCAGGCAGACCGGAATCAAAAGCAAACCACACCGATCTAGGTACGTTCGCAACCTATACGCTACATTTTTCTCGCTGGAACGTTCGTCCTTTGTTAATCCTACCTCGACCTCCACGCAACGTGTATTTGCATGACTCCCTCG